GAATTCTGGGAGTTGAAGTCCACACATCTTAAAGTTGTCAAGGTTGAGAAACACTGAGCTACAGACACTGTTCAGCTACAACTCTAAGAAGAGCTACTTTGCACAACTGCAATTTATATTAAATAGGACCAATTTGCACGTTACCAAGAAGGTTGCTACCAAACAGTCCTCCCCCCAGTAACAGTTTTCACTGCAAAATAAATTCACTGTATATAAGGGAACAGTCACTTGCACCATTTGTTTTTTACCAGAACAGCACATAGTTTGTGTAAAAATAAGAAAATGGCATAAACTTTGGGTTAGTAAATAAATAAAAACAACTGATCTAGGACAGATGTTGCTAGGCTATAAACTTCATAGGTAAATACCGTATTGTGAAAAGATTCACCTAGTTCAGCATTATGTCCATTATTTTGGATTGTTTCTATACAGCAGAGTTTTTTTAATCCTGTTGTAGTCAGGCTGCCCTCAGAGAATTATCAGTGTGAATAGCGTCTGATCTTTCAAAGTATTTATCTGTTTTAAGTCAAACCTGATGCATTCTTGCAAAATTTTAGGGAAACCTCTAGACTGATAATCTCAACAGGATTAAAGGGTCCCATCCAGTCTTTTGTACCAATAGAGAAGGTAGGTTTGCATCACACACTGTAGATTTCCCTGAAAAGGTAGGGATTCCAGCAGATTTGAAACAACAACAAGAAGAACAACAACAACTTTTCTTCCAGTAGTCCTGTAGCTGCTGGCCCTGGTTGCTCAGTCAAAAGACCTGAGTCCTGTAGCCCGCTTGTCACCAGATGTCCAGGAATTCCAACACCTAGCATGGTCCTTGTTGACCCAGGCAACAACCGATCCAGTATGGGTTTCTGTAAATTATGTCTCACCATATTGTTTATGGGAGAGGCACTCTTCATCTGGCTCCTCTGATGAGACCTGTCCACTATGCTTGAACCTCTGGCATAGCTCTCATCCTCCTCGGAGCATGCAAGCCCCACAACCGTGTCAAGGTAGTGATGGGTGGATAAAAATGCCAAATCCAGTCTAAACATCTGGCTGACTGTGCAACCAACAATAACATCGACAATAATAATTTTATATGCTACCCGACTCCCAGTAACTCTGCTGCCATTAGATAAAAGAGAATCAAGAGATTTCAAGGTCCCACAATAAAGGACAATTTGGGCATGTGATCTTTCAATTTAAAAAGAATTAAAAATAACATAAAAGAGAAAAGCATCACAAGAGCAGAGTTGCAGATGAAACAGGTAACCCAATCACAAAGGAAAAAGCAAATATGCAAATCTCTGCAAAAAATAAAGCACAATGAATCCCTTTCAAAATCTGCTCTTACTGTGAGATCAACTTGAGTATAAAGATTTAAAATGCACACCTGTGTTCAGATGATATCCCCAAATCTACCTCGATACCTTAATAATCAGCCTCCTCCTGTCTTTTCACTTTTCCTATATCTTTTAGCATATATGCAGGCTTATAAAGAAGAAAATACTACTTCAAGTCAAGCTTAGCAGCTAGTCATTTCAGAGACATATCCATGTAGTTTTCTTGGCCACGGTATGGAAGTGGTTTGCTTTCTTCCAGGATAGCTTTTTTCAACTTCCAAATCTAGCTTATGGCTCTGGGATTTCCTCTTGGCTTCCCATCCAAGTATTAACCATGTCCAAACCTGCTTAGCTTTCAAGATCAACAAAAATACAGATTTACTGCCTCTGAATATCTAATTTCAGATGGACTAATGAAGGATAATGGTGATAAAAAAAAAATCAGTATTATCAGTACTGAACTCACCTATCTTTAATAAAGACTCAAAACTACTTGGGCAAATTTATAGCACTATGAAAACCCACTCCTGTCTTGAATATATCAATATCTGGCAGTTTTAAATAGAATCAATGGTAACATTTTTGTGTGAGGAGCATGTAGCAGATTATAATATTATGAGAGAAAATCAAATAATATTCTCAAATCTATCATTTGTAGTCTGGGAAGAAACCTTACCCAACTAAAAGCAAATGTAAGAATTTATCCCAGATACTGATTTTATAGTCATTGTCTATAGCAACTGTGTCCATAACATTCTAACTCTCAAGAGTGCACACTCTGGTAAATGGTACATCTGTCAAACTTCAGGAAACATCTGGGAAATAGCTGAACAAGACGTAACAAATTTAAAACTTTTCCTCCATAGATACAAAATCTAGACTATGATTTTAAAGGAATTACTTGGCTAGAGCCCAGTACATATAGAATAATGGGCATAGGATCCACTGAAGTAAAAGGAGCACATGAGTATCTATGATCTGTGTTCAATCTTGTTTGCTTAGTTCTATGGGATGGGAGACTGTTTAGATATAGCTTATAGGAGAACAGCATTCATACAGAAACAAAAACTCTTGGGTATACATAATTTTACATTTTAAGCTGACTTAAATGCTTAAAATGCTTAATGTTATCAGAGTAGCAGAAACAATTCTGTTTCTGCTACTCTGATAACATTAAGCATTGTTTTGTTTAGAAAAGGATACTATATTGAAAAAGAAAATAAACGAAGTATCTGAAACTGCCATGTCCAGCCTCCTGCTCCGTTGACATAAATTGTTTTAAAATTAAGAAGAATGGATATTGCAGTCAGCCGTGACAATGGAGCCCTGCACCCTACAGATCCAGGTTCTTTGAAAGATCTTTAGGGTCCTGCACCATCTGGGTCTCTCTCTCTCTCTGCTGATCTCATAGCACTCTGGCTCTGGAGCTTTGGAGTCTGTCCAAGCTGAGCTGCACCACTGGCCAAAAGAGGCACCCTTCTCCTTGTGGAGGTTCCCTTTCTGTGAGGGAACTGGAAGACAAGACGAAAATACTCTTTCTCCTGATCAGATATCCTCATTAAAAGATCTATGCTAAAACATGGAAGGGGAATCTGTGGTCCTCCAGATACTGCTGAATTATAAATCTCAGTATCTGGAAGTCAACAAGATAGGCAATGCAAACATTTTCACTCATGTCACACGTGTCAAATAGTCCCAAGGCTGATGGGATTGGTTTTAGTAATCCTGCATATACTTTTATAACTACACTCAGAAGTTCAGAAAGTTCTTTGCTATGACTTCTATCAGCAGCTGCCAGTGGCAAGGCAAGTTAGACAGAACCACCCAGGTGCAATCTCTTTCCTCCTCTTTTCCATCTACTCTGCAACTCCAGTAGTGACTGGGTTAAGTTTATCAAATTGAGTTTTGTGGCTGAGCCAAGATTTTTGTTCCAAATCCACCAGTATGTTCACTTCTGCTCTTACATGAAGACATTTTTAAAATTTTGTATGCATCTCTATCTCTATCTCCATCTATTTTCAAACATCTGCCTCCTCCTTAAACAGTATGGGGCTACAGAAGATCCACAATGAATAAGCAGCAAGTTCGGCTGTCATTTAAATTAACTTCTTCTCATATCACAGTTCTAGTAGGACATTTGTAATCGGTAGAATACTATTAGTCCACTGAGCAGCTCAGTACTTGTGAGATTTTTCCCCCTCCTACATGATTGCTCA